AATCAAAACCACCAATTTATTCAATTTATTATGAAATGATCACGTGGGCAATCAACATGACCTTTCAAATTCTCAATATTACGATGTCCCTTGATTCTATCACAGCACTTCTCAACGTACACAATGTATTGTAAGAGCATTGACTTGTATTTGATCTTTACCCGGATCTGTAATATCATTAATCAGCTTTATTTTAGAGAGGTAATAATTTTGAGATAAGGATAAAAAATATTTCTGTGATGATATCCAAGAATCAGAACTCTTAAAGGGATCGATAAGAATGGATAGATTTCTTGCAAGGATCACGACCACTTGCAATGGGATCGTACTTTTTCCAAGAATAACAACAACCTCTTAGTTGAATCGAACTACAACTAAGGAACACGACGTCATGATTGAAATGAGTTTCTTCCAAGAATGACGGGATTGATTGATGCTTTCAAAGGATCAAGGAATTGAACTTCAATCAAGGATAGCGACCATATGGGATTTTATCTAAGATTCACATCGAATTTGCAATGAGGATTATGACCAATTATAGGATCTTTCAAGAATTGACCAGATTTATTCCATGGTTCACAACATCTTTGCGAGATTGGCTACGATCATGACTGTTTGATGGTATTGATAGATTTCTTGCAAGAACCGATCACTTGATATAATCGATAGTTTCTTCCCAATTTAACAATATCTTGGTGAGATTACTTCAACCAAAAATTATGACAACTTACGATCTCCTAAGAATGGTGCCTTCGTCCAAGGTTCAATATGGCTTCAAAACTAAGAACTGCCTGTTATAGTCTTAAAAATGGATAATATCTATCATAGAATTATAAAAACTTGGCACTTTTACAATAATTTCTGAAAAACACTAAACTAAGAAGAGCATATGAAAATGCTATAACATGACAACAATCGTTAATTAAATAATTCAAAGTGATTAAACGATAAAAAATTTCACAGTAAGTATATATATATAATAATAAGTTTTGTTGCGCCACATGTCTATAAAATTGTGCAAGAAAATTATTATAAAGTCATTTATATGCTTACACAAATAATTGCATGTTACAATTACATTGGAAATTCGTAATAGAAGAAAAGCTTGAAGGAGCATGATAACACCTTTCATTATAGGTGTTTCAGTACACGTCAAATTATCGAATTAGGTATGTTTTTTACAATATGTACATAAGATATAACAAGGAGAGCAGAGAGAGAATAATCAAGAGCGAAATAAAAAACTACAAGAATAAAAAATTGATTTTTCGAGTTACTGTAAATACTTACCATCATGTTATTGAATTATTTCAAATTTACTTATAAACAAACTTTTAAATTCATTCTGATCAAATCAGATTGCGTTCAGTTCTGTATTGCCGAAAACTCGAAATATGCTCATAATACCACCCGTTCAATAAATCTTAATAGATTTTTTTGTAAATAGTTCGGTTTAATCTTTTGATAATATCATTTAAAATATAACTAAAAAATGATAGTATTTTAATTATATATTTATTAGAGATATCACCAAATACTTGAAATTCGAAAATACTCAAATTTAGATGATTGTTATAAACATTTGAAATTAATGAAAATTATTCTATACATTTTTGGGTCTGGAACTTGGGAACAACAAAACTAATACAATGCAATTTTTCAATGCGACCTAACTCCTTAATCCTAAAGAGAATAGATTTCTCATTTATTTGAAAGATTAAATGGTAATTAACTTCAAATAACCTAGAATTTTCAATCCTTATTAAAATATTAAAAATCAAATTAATCCAATCCGTTGATGCAGTATAAACTAAAAATTGTGCCGTCCGTTTCTGTGATTTTATTCAAAAACTTAAAATTCTCGCGTAAATTCAATTTAATTTTACTTTGAATTTCACGCAAATGATCCGATAGAACCTTTTCAGTCTAAATCAATCGATTGAGTAACGAATCTAATTTGAAATTAACAACACAATTTTATTATAATTATCTTAGCATTTAACAAAAATTAAAACAAACAGCTATATGAAGTCACGAGGAATAATGAAGATAAAAGTCTCCTTTACTTATTATAACTCTTAGTTTTCAAATAAATCCCAATTGAAATCGATTTTATATTGATTTTTATATTAAATTATAAATGATTTAATGTACATTTATCCTAATACTGTAAATATTCTCATATAAATATTTATATAAAATAATCCATCATAAGAACGAATTTAAATTAGCCATTCCGCAAATTTCATTTAGACTAGAATATATTGTCGTAAGCATAGAATAGACTCGATTTTTCTTGATTGTAAATTGGTTGTAGCCTGCCAAATTAACTTTCATATTATTCACCAGACAAAATGTTCTTCCGTTGGGCGTTGATAAATTCTAAATATGATGACAACTTGAATTTCTAGATATAAATTGACCATATACCATTTTTTTATAAAAAAATATAGTAACTAATCTTGTAATTGTATGAAGATAGCAAATTGTTAATTATTTGCGTGGAAACTGCACAAAATTGTATTGGAGGCAATGGGATGTTTCCAATCATTTTTTTATTCATCGTTACTTTGTAGGAATTCCCTCTGCAAAGAGCAGAAAAATTTATAAAGATGAAAAAATTACAGCTAATTAATTGTTATTCAAATTTATTCTTACATCGAAAATTGAAACAATCATTTACTTCTTATTTTTTCCTACAATTATTCTGTTAAACCGTAAAAAAAGTACCCACCGTATTCTCCCACATATTTCGGTTAAATCGGAACAGTAGCTTTACCTTAAATTGTTTAAATGTGTAGTCACAATTAACGTAATACTTATATAATAATAAAGTCGAAATCATTGTAAAATTGGCCCATCATAAGAACAAATAAAGTGTGCTCAGTAATAAACAAAATAATCCGGAAGATTAGTAAGATTCTATAACTTCAAGGAAATAATTTCGGAAATAATAAAGAAGTTTAAAACTGCTTTGTTTTCTACTCTAATTCAGCATATTAATAAAGATGTCTGATCTCTCAATCAGAAGCTTTTTTTTTGTTATTGGAAGTTTATTTATGTACTTTCCATCGTTTAGTTCCTCTAACTATACTCTTTAAAATGTTATCATTCACTCATAATCAATGTAATGGTTATTTTTTTTGCATATATCAACTTTTAATTGATATTGTGATTTCATCCGAAAAAGCTAACGCGGAGTTACCAGCAATCTTTTTATTATTCTTGATCAAGATAACAGGAAGTTTAATATTCACATACGGTTTGTTAAAAATCACGGACAAATATAAAATTACATAATTAAAAGCATAATTCCAAATCTTCAATAAAGTTTCACTTTCGATGTGTTATCCTAGATAAGTTATGTTCAAACCGTTACTTGCCAATAAAATTAAGAAAGTTAAAGTGTCTGGTTTTTTTGATATTATTTCAGATATTCGGACCTAATTAAAAATATTTGGAATTTCTGGCCTGATAGAAAAAGAAGGTGTGGATAAATGTAGACTGAATACTTGGGAACTAAAATCCAACGGCAATTAGCGGTCACACCAGTAAAAAAAAATCAAAGAAAATTCTTGGTTTATTAAGGAATGAAATTAATAATAGAGTGAAACAGTACAATTTTATAGTATATTGAGAAAGATAACACGGCGTAAACTTTCGTCCTGTTGCATTTATTTAATGAAACATAATGACAAAAAAAAAAAAAATAAATAAAAAATAATTTGTATTTTTTATCACAATTTTTTTTTGAAACTTTTTTTAGTAAAGTTTGAGAAACGGAAGGCTACCTTTTGTCTATATTTCCTTTCATTTATTCACGCCAACTTCTATCCTGAAAGTCTACACAATGAGATATTGTTGAAACTATAAACAGAATATCACATGCATCAAGATGTCTTTATTGAATTTAAAAGAGCTACCTTTTGAAAAAAAAGAAATAGGATTGAATGTGATAAACGTACAATAAAAAAAAATTAAAAAAACGCGCCTTCATTGTAAAATCGTGAATGCGTTTGGAGCATTCCTCGCTTTTTCTTTTTTTCATAATGATATGTAAGTTTTTAGATGTTTGATCCAAAATTTTTTGTAGAATCCAAAAGTGGGGCGGAAATCTTGCTTTAAAATTACTGTTTCAATCCTGATGTGTAAATTAATTAACTCCATTTTTAAAACTTTACAAAAACGAATTATCGATATTCTGTAAAATACAATTCTCATTTTGTTATATAAATTTCAACATCCAGCTTACTCATCCAATCATTTTCAAGTAACAATATTATAAATGACTGCTTTATCTAAAAATCTTTGTTGAATATTCATTCTCTTAAAATTTTTGTATATCCGAGAACAGTATTGAATGTACTATCAAATGAGATGATTTTTGTTTTAAATTGAAAATATCGAATTATTTTCATGATATTTTTTATTTTTTGCAATTTAATATAACAATTATTCGAACTGTAATTAATTCATTTGCAATAATTAAGCCAATTTAAACTAAAGTTTCTTTATTTTTTTTAAAATAAAAAAAAAATCGTTCGTTATTATAAATTTTGTAGCAGTGTGGAAGGATATCTATAATTTGATCAAATCTATCGAAAAATTTTCATCATGTTTATAATTTTTATCCGAATCCGATCACAAAAAAAAAATAACCAAACACGAGAGATCGATCGGCGGACCCAACGATGTAAAAAATCATGTGAAAATTTCCTTAGCAATAATAATAACATTTTTATAATAATCAATACTTTATTTTAATGAAGTACAAATAAATTAACGTGTATATTTCTTTCAATTGGTCATTTGAAGCGAATCAGTTTTTAAAGGATGAAGAAGAACCTTTAATATTCATTCAAAATTTTCATAGTTTTAAAACAACTAAACATAGTACTATATACATTTTTTAACCAAAAAGTTCAAATTAAACAATTTCTAATGTACCATTATTTACTCTTACAATATTACCTTACTTTTGTACTCGTAATTTCAATTAATCAATCATTACGAGGTCTTTTAGAGGACGAGCCATTTTTTGAACTTGAACCACCCTTTCTCTTTTTTATATTATTAGATCTCTGCAGTTCTTTCCATTTATTTATTTGCTCTTGATACTCGATTTTCGACTTTGCACCTCTATCTAACCAAGGCTATATATAATATATTAAAAAGAATTATAATTTGAAAATCAAACTTGCTTAATGTAATCAATATCACTTACTTGTTTTTCCTCAATTGACATTTTTTTCCATATTTCGGCAGCATATGCTATCGTACCACTGATATTCAATTTCTCATTCCTTACCTTTGCACATATATCTCCACAAAAGTAACTAAAACCGTTACCAGGTCTTCTTGGTTTTCCATCTTCATTAACTTTCTCGGAATTCGGAGTTTGAGTTGGGGTTTCATCATCTTCATTTTCGGCTTTTCTTGTTCTTAATGTTCTTTTGGGGGTAAGGCGAGAACGTTTTTTCTTTGAGGGGCTGTGATGTGTAATGGATGCAGTCGGAATATTAAAAGAATCAGAATCAACTCTTGTACGTTGGCGAAGATTAGCACTAGGCGGTCTGTTACTTCTTGTGTTATGCCACCTTTTTGGATTCGGATTTCTCAAGATTGTCGACCTGCACTTGAAGTTCTTATCATCTGGATCATCCGATAGTACATCTAATTCTTCTTCGTCGAATTCTGCTTCAGATGAAGTCTCACCCACCACATTTAATCCATTAGAATCCTTTGTCACATCTATTGGTACATTTTCTATGCTATTTTTCCTTTGGTCTATATAATAATAGTGAAAAACAAAAAAAAAAGCGTTAACATACGTAAATAAAATATTTCATTAAATCAAGATTAATTTACCTTCCGTATCTGGTGCCGCTTGATTGATCTCAATCTTATTGATATCAGCAATACCAAACATACTAGTTATTATATCCCATTTGTAAGTGGTAGGAGGATCAATCTTGACCATAGTTCCCTCTGGTAATAATTTATTCAAGTCCCCATATACTCTAGCCGCTTTTTTTGCTATCTTATCAAATTCTGATAGAGTATTATCAAGCTTTTAAAATAAATATAATTAGTCCCATAATTATGGCATCTAAAGTCTTACTAATAAGAAACAAATTACTTACTTCACGATATTTTTCAATTATCTCATTTGACAGATCTGAAGGGTTAATTTCTTCCTCATTGATAACAGGTTGGGATCCTTGAATAGTGACTTGCGTTGGTTCTTCTTGATTTGCTTGCCCATTTGATAGATCTAATTGTTTAGCAAGTTGCGTATCTTGGTTAATGGGCTGCGTTTCCTGGCTAGTATGTAGCGTATCTTGACTAATTGGTTGAACCATCTGAGAAGTTTTACAAATTTGATTTGTCAAATTTGTCATCAGGCCAGCAAGATGGTCCAAGCGAGAAATATTTTCATACACTTGGCTGGATACTTCAGTTTCGATGGTTTTGCTTGAGGATGATGTTAGATTTGCGGGTGTAGCAACCTTCTTGCCTTTAGATTTCAATTTAACTTTTTCCAGAGTATTATTTTTTTCAGATTTATCACTTTCATTAATCTCATTTTCAGATGATGTGTTGCTTCCAATTATCCCCAAAATGATATCGTCATTGGGATGGCGATCTTGATCAGGCAATACGATTACTTGATCTTTCGTGGAATCCTTTTTATAGGTCTTATAAGGTTTTTTATTATCATTTTCATCTCCAGAATTATTTCCAGTTAGATCATCCCTGATAGTTTTATCACTATCGTCATTCATGATTGGTAATTCGGCTCGTTCCCTTCGTACTTCTGAATTAGACACTTGAGCCTTTGGATGGTCGTTATTATCGGACTGGTTTTTCTCTTGACTCCGAACTTTTTCTAAAATGACAGAATTAACGTCAATTTCATGTTTTTGCTGTTGGTCATTACCTTTTCCTGCATTTATTGGATTCAACGACCAACTTCGAAGTGGTTACATCATAAACTTGCTGGTTCAATCAAACCTTTTCCTAACTTTGAATGTTCCAAGGTCAATCTCGCATTGTCCTTTCCCGTAGTTGCGGAACCTTCTTCGACTAATGAAAGATTTTTATTAACGTTTTGCTCAAGTGAATGACCAGACACTTTCCCTATGGTTACGAGATTCCCCAAGGCTCGATCTTTAAAATTACTTTCTAATGCACGTTTATCATCATGCTTACGTTCTGAGTCATCTAAAACATTAAAAAAAAATATTTAAAATTAGATGTAATGAGATGAGATTTGGAATAATTCAAGTAAAAATATCCTTTAAAATACCATGTCTATAGGTTGATGAACTCGGTGTATCGATTTTTTTGGTCAAATTATGAGAAGAATACGTTGCTAAAGATGATGGGAATGAAGATTTATTCGTTTGAGGGAACAATTGTGTCTCTTTAACGTTATCCTTTCTAATTCTACTCGCATCAGAATTATTTTTTATTGAAATATTAGAATTAGCAGATTGCAATTTATTTTTATATCCAGTGCTCTTCAATTCAAATTTGATCCTTTCGCGTTTCTCTAACGGTCTTGGACCATTACCCGTTATGAATGATTTACTCGGAGATTTAAAAGAGGGTCTATTGGTTAGCAAAGCGGTTTGAGATTTTGTAGGGTTATTTATAACGTAACCTGAAAGTAGAAATTCTTTTAAAATTAGTTAAATGATAAGGCAAAGCAAAAATTCAACTTTGAAAGAATTAAATTGAGACCTACTACCGGAACGATTAAAACGATCATTTCCATTATTGGAAAGACGCAAAGAAGCCTCCCCACGTTGAGGAAATTGTTCTCGATCAGATGATTTATCATTGTTTTCGTCGGAACTTTGAGAAGTTTGTTTCTTTGAACACTTATTATTACTGTAAATATGATATGCATCAAGTGAAGTATCAGAGTCCAACTCCATGTCGGATCCATCATTTTCATCCAGCATAATTCTTTATCTCAATTTTCTCCTTAAGTAAGTTTGAACTTTACGTTTTGACGACTTTGTTAAAATTATATAAAAAAAAAAAGGAAAAAGAATGTTTCATTAAATAAATAAAATAAATTTCAACAAAAAGACAAGTAACAAGGAAATAGTTTTTAAAATGTCTTCATACCTATAAGGAGCAAACTAAAATGATTTTCTTTCTTTTCTTTTTTTTTTAAAAAAAAAAAAATAATTTCAACAAAATTTTTGACCACTGGAAGAAAGAAAAAAATATCAGCCAAACCCATTTGCGTAATGAAGCATAAAAAAGGAGCAATTATACCAAATAAGGAAAGACATCTAACATTATGCAACTGTTTATTGTGTAACACTAATGTAATATGATTGGTTTGCGTAATGATCTTTTGATCATTTGACTTATCAACGTTTATTATTCTTTAATAATAAGGACATTGTTAACGCAACCCTTAAATACTTTTTTTTAAAAAAAGATATCAGACAATCATCACATTATAATATTTATCAATCAAACGAATATTTAAATTTTTTATTGAAATTTTACTATAACAGAATGAATTATATTTTATTTTGACATGTAAGATCTGTCGAATGACATCAAAATTAAATTTTGAAAAATTTTTACAAAGATTAAATAGATATATATGTATGTGAAAGTTCGTCTTCCTTATAAACAACGGTTAAAATAATAACAATAAGTGTTTTTTTTAAATCTCAAAAATAATAAAGACAAAGTTGTTATTATTTTTTTTTTAAGCATAAATGTAGTATGTGATTTCAAATGTTAAAAATAAAAATTCATGAGGAAGGGTTTGAGATGAGATAATCATTATATCTATGAATCTTCGCAATTTAAGGAGTCGTCACTTAAATAAGAGCTTAGATTTTTGATTCTTTATTCGTATCGTTATTCGTGATAGGCGAAGGAAATCAATAGGAATGTGGAAAAAGTTTAGTAATAACTATTAAAATCCAAGATCGATATCGCTAGAATAATCGAATTTGTACTTGAACGATTAATATCTATTAATGTTTATTAGGGGGCTGTACAAATTTCCGTATCGATATGTTAGATGTGTAGAATAATACAAAAGATATACTTTTATTTTGCAAGAAAATGCGAACGAAATTTGGGAAATTTGAAAGATTTGTTTATATATTATTAAAAACAAGGAAATATCTAACAGTACAGTATACTTCGCCACATTGTCTCTCTAGGACGATCATTTTTTTTGATCTTACAAAAAGAAAAAAATAGAAAAAGAGCGATTTGGATTCTAATTACATTGATTCAATTAGAGAAACTTTCACTTATTCTTACCTTTTACAAATACAATAAGAAACTTAAGTGATTTACAGTATCCATCAATAACTTCAATTAATCAATAACCTTATTTTACCTAAAATAACATGTCCGCTCACTTATATAAAATTGGATTTATTGGATAATCGTATCTAGCTTTTATATTTATTCAAATAAGTTTTTTTTTGTTAGTAGATCATCATTTTTGAACAAAAAAGATTTTAAATGATTTACACAACATGTGCCGCCGACAGTGATTTTCACGAGAAATGCATCTAAAAAGCAAGAGCCATTTGGTATTTAAGGGGAAAAACAAAGATCCAAATGTAATCAGTGAGAGACTCAATATAATGATATTATTGGATGGTGTGAATATATCGACTTTTGTCCATCCAATAATTAATTGTTTTAGGTTATAAGAACTAAGTATCAAAGGTCATATGTTATGTTACGCTATTTCTCTTCTTCTATGTAAGTGTTGTTATCAATTCTTTGCCTTAATTAATGAAGACAATAAAGTTTGAAATTTTTAAAATATTTTTAATTTCTCGACATTACTGCATTAGATAAGCTGAGAAAATAAACTTTTTTTTTAAGTAATTAAAATATGATTTCATCGAATATCTGTATTTCCCCAGAGTCAGAGACTAAGTAAGCTAATGCTAATGAAATGACCCTAATTTAATTGCCCAAATGTTTAAATGTACAATCTTTTGTATAAAAAAATTGCGACCATAGAGGAATGCTCAAAAATAATCTTTCGGTCAAATTGGACTTTTGATATTATATTATAAAATTTTATATTCCAGTTTTGATATCAGGATTACCAATCATGAAAATTAGATTGTTAATTTATGCTACCACACGATATAACTTGCCTGTAAATTTAAGAAAGATTTGCTTAATCAAATATTAAAAATTCGATAAATTAATTATAGTATCATTAGTGAAAATTATTTTTTTTTTAAAAAAAAAAAAAGTCGACAAGCGTAAATAAAGAACACATCAAACATTTAAGTATAATACAATTAATGATATTCATTTTGATACTTCTGAACATTTAACAAATCAGTTTGCAGCTGTAAATATTTGGATTTATCTAGAATTACATCATAATTCATCAACTATGTTCTCAAAATGACATTAAAGGTTGGTTCATAAATATTCGTAATAGGTCTCATAAATCATACGAACATAAGCTTAAAGAAGTGGATTAATTATACTTATAATGTTTCTTATGTTTCTTATAGTACTAATATTGGAAATTATTAATCATGTTTAGAATTCATTTATAACAGTTTGATCATTTGTACCAAATGAACAATCTTTTAGCATTTTCTAGGATATATGCATCGTTCATATATGTTATTCATAAGCTGAGTTTTTAAAAAATAAAAAAATTTAAAAGTTAAAAGCTAATTAAAGATATTTCTAATTAAATTATTAACAAACCTCAAAAGTCGTTATATATTGACAACACGCTTTTGTAAGCTCAAATTTTGATAATTAAGGTTATGTTGACAAATACTAGATAGATAAAAAGAATACAGTAGTTCTCATGGACTTATCAATACAAGCAATTACTTTTCAAATTTCGAAGGTAGTTGAAATCCAATCAGAATATGCTCTTCCAGTATACCAAAATACTTATTTGAATCTATGGAATCTTGTTTAGGTGCGGCATATATTAATGACAAAATATTAGTTCAAAGCTATATAGCACCAACTATTCTTAGTACTATATAAAAAATATTTGATACGTTCTTTTAATATATCCTGTTGCAGAATAAACTATACGTGTGATGTTTTTAAAAAGTTATTAACGTATAATTTAGTATTTTATATAGGTAATTCAAAAGATTCAATTTTCTCCGAGCAATTCATTTGACACGTGATCAATAGGTCGGATTCACATATTAGTTAATATTGTGTGGATTAATTTTAAAAAAAATCTAATCATACCTAGGGATGAAAGTTTCGACAATTCAATGACTTTGGAGCTCATTATCAACAACCTTGACTTTCAAATTAATATCTTATTTCTAAACTAATAATATTGCAAAGCCGATGTTTTATAATAAGACCAAAAAAATGAAACGTTTGTTCATTTATACGGACGAAGCTATGTAGTATATGAAATAGCATAAAGCGTTATTCTCTGTTCTGTGCTAAATTGATCGTTTCGGCTTTATACGCTGCAATTTAATTTAATTTCAGTCTATGATCGAACAGTATCTGCGTACGCACAAGAATTTAATGATTTTATGTCATCGAATTAGCCTTCCTGTAGTATGTATCTTAAGTATCTTAACTAACAAGTGGTGGAGTCGAGTAACTCAGTCTTTATTCCCTTTTCAAACGGTTCATTCGTGATTTTCAATTGAATTTTCAATCATAATTTTCTTATTAAATAAAAAATTTAAAATTTGTTTAAATTTAATAAAGTTGCTTAATGTATAATCGATCAATTGAGTTTGAAATAGTTTCTAAAACATTGAAACTTTAAATTATCAGAGAATTTGGTAAGATTTGGTTGTTTTTTACAAAGTCGACTCAGCAGTTGACACGACTAACGGCTGATATCATTAATCTTAAAATTATTATTACAAATTCAGTCCTACTCATAAGATTTGCTTTTTTATTGGTTTCTCGAAATCAAATCATATACCGTATCTACCACGACTTTTAATAATATAATTTGTATCCATTAAATTATTTTTTAATTAATCCGTTATCATGATTACTTTCTTATATATAAATTCCTAATGGGACTAGATTCCTATTATAAAATCCGTGAAAATTTCTGCGCCATTTTAACCGCAGTACTGCGCCGATTATCATGAAAGTTTTTAGCATCAATTTATTTTTGTAATCATTATATTTTTTATCAAGTTTATTCTATTTTACATTATTTTCATTATTTATCAATGTAAGGAGATACGACACAATGCTAAATTGTATTATTTGTTCTAAATATCTCTTAGGAAAGGTCTTTGAGAAATTGGTTTATTTGTTATTACCAAATATTGATTATTTTGATAATACAATCCTAATTTTCAACTTGTCATTTTACACTAACATTTATAATCGCAACATTAATTCACAACCCAAATATTTAGACATAGAAGTCAAAAATAATATTTATTATTATTAATTTCTTTTAAAAATTTTCATAAAACGCTCTTCACTTCATTGAATTCATTCTTTCTCGATGATCACGTGACATCCTACTTATCGATTTTTTTATAAGCTTCTGAATAAATGAATTGAATGTTAAACGTTTAAATATTTGAAAAGATACAACACTAGTATCAAATAAAACATATATGGACTAGAATTCGTAGATCGCAATATTTTATTGCGTACAAATCTTTACGTTGACACACTAGAAGTATGATGGAATCGCATTATTATCCTCGTATGGAAAACGAGATCTTTTCATACACCATGTGAACAATTCATAATCGTTACTGCGGATTATCTTCAATTTTTTTTTCTTTTCGATTGCCGTATTACGTTACCTTGCTGAAATAAATCTCCTAAAACGTTCTACTACAATATCTACAATGAAATTACAACATTGTACAATGAAATCTGTTATTTTGATAATCAATAAACCTTATTGTTTGTTTGTGCGCATTATAAAGAAAATCATAAATGCTGATGGTTCCCGCAATATCAAAAATAGAAGTAAGGCAATTATAATATTATGCACAAAAGGCTTAATCCATTCGTTGAAAACTTCGATTCCTTTTTCACATAAGCATTTAGAATCTTATCTCATTGAATAATGATACCGTATTACTTCTTTTTTTTTAACTATTGTCTCAAATCATTTTGTTTTTCTATTTATATGGTTCATTTGATTTTTATTCGCCGTAAAACAAGATTTCCCCTTGACTATATTTTAATGATAACTTTTATTCGCTAATTAAGTATAATCGTAAAAATTCAAAAGAAAATAATAATAATAATAATAAAGGCATTCTTATTTCTATTTTAAATAATGTCGTCGGTTCAAGAACAGGAAAACAATAATAAGATTGCAATTCCTAGCATCGACTCAGGCAAAGGAGAAAAAGGAGATTTTTCAATAGTTGACCAACTACCTCCGCAGCATAATTCAATTGAACAAGAAAATGACGTCAACGAGAAATCCTCCGCAGGAAATAAAAAAGGAAAAAAGAATAAAGTTAAAAAGCCTCCCGAAGAAAATGATGCCATTCCCATGAGTCAAATGTTTAGATTTGCTACGCTTCTCGATAAATTTTATATGTTTATAGGTACAATAGCAGCATTTGGTAATGGTATTGCTGTACCACTCATGACCGTTATCTTTTCAGGATTTATTGACATCTTTTCAAGATTCTCCTTGGCCTTATCAATTTATAATTCTACTCAAGATGAAGCACAATTTGTTATAGCTAAAAATGAATTGGATTCAGATATTCGTAGACATGTTTATTATTTTTTGATACTGGGTGCTTCGATTTTTGTCGCTAGTTATATTCAAATGGTTACTTGGTCTATTGCCGGTGCAAATCAAGCGAACGTACGTATGATTAAATTTTCAAACCGTTAATTCTTTTAATTTTGATTTAAATTTTATTTTTTTGTTACGTTATAATAGGAAGTTCGTAGATTATATTACTCATCTCTATTAAAACAAGACATAGCATATTTTGATAATACACCATCAGGGGATATAACAACACGCATATCAAATGATACTTATACTTATCAAGAAGGGATATCCGAAAAAGTGGGATTTATTTTACAAAATGCTGCCACATTTTTTGGTGGTTTCATTATCGCTTTCTTCAGAAGTAAGTGAAATTAATATATTCAGTGTATATATATTTATTTTGTTTTATTATAAATTTTATTTTTTTAATTAAATATATATATATATATATATTATAGGTTGGCAATTAACGCTTGTATTATGTTCCATATTTCCTTTACTGATTGCCGCTGGTGCTATTATGGCAAAATCCGTTAGAGGTGGTACTTCAAAGGGTCAAGGTGAGCTTTTATATACATATATTTCATTTCACCTCCATAATTTATCATTGAATTTTTTTTTTTAAAAAAAAAAAGATGCTTACGCAGCAGCAGGATCAATAGCAGAACAAGTCTTTTCTAACATTCGCACAGTGTTAGCATTTGGAGGACAACCACGCGAACTCGCTAGATACTCTGAAAAATTAGAATTAGCGTACAAATCGGGAAAAAGGAAGGCAATAATTAGTGGTTTTGGATTAAGTTCGATGATGTTGATTTTATTTAGTTCTTATTCCTTGGCATTTTGGTACGGGAGTAAGCAAATTTTAAGTGGATCAAAAACCAGTGGTGATATTTTTGGTGCCTTCTTGGCCGTTATAATCGGAGGTAAGTTAAAAATCATTATTTTTTTTAATAAATAAAGATGATATTTTAATTTTATCATCATCTTTTTTTTCTTCCAAAAATAGCCTTTTCAATTGGAAACGCATCACCGTATTTTGGTGACGTAGCTGCAGCGCTAGGATCGGCAAAAAATTTGTTTTCAACCATAGATCGTAAACCTTTGATAGACGTAACCTCCACCTCCGGTCAAAAAATATTGCCTTCCTCTAAATTTGAGGGACGCATCGAGTTTAAAAACATCTCATTTCATTACCCATCTCGCCCTGATGTACCGATATTAAAAGGTTTCTCATTAACAATCGAACCAAATCAAACCGTAGCATTAGTAGGTTCAAGTGGTAGTGGAAAATCTACGATAGTTGGATTATTAGAAAGGTTTTATGATCCCGTCGAAGGAGAGATCCTGATTGATGGAGTATCAATAAAAGAATGGAATTTGAAATTTCTTAGAGGACTTATCGGATTGGTTGGACAAGAGCCAGTTTTATTTCCAAACACTATTAGGCAAAATATTGCATGGGGTAAAGTGTCGGAGGATGGTCGACAAGTTGGTATCGAAGAGATTATAGAAGTGTGTAAAAAGGCAAATGCACAGGAATTCATTGAAGATTTACCAAAGAAATATGATACTTTAGTAGGGGATAAAGGTGCATTATTGTCAGGAGGACAAAAACAAAGAATTGCTATTGCAAGGGCGCTTATAAAAGATCCACCGATATTATTGTTGGATGAAGCCACCTCTGCATTAGATACCGATTCCGAAAGTCTTGTACAAGATGCTTTGGACAATGCATCCTCTAATAGGACTACAATTGTCATAGCTCATAGGTTATCTACCATCAAAAATGCCGATAAAATAATCGTAATGCATAAGGGTGAAATTAAAGAAGTAGGAAAACACGACGAATTAATTACTCAAAAGGGTGTTTATTATGGACTTGTACAGGCTCAAGCACTAAAAACTCGAAAGAAAAAAGGTCAATTAGAAGAAGAGGATGATGATGATGATGATGATGATGATGATGATTCAAGCAGCATAAGTAATATTACACAAAATAGAAATGATGTGGTCATTCCTCTTGATAAACAAGAGAAGAAATCGACACAATTAAGAAGAGTTCTTACGAGAGAATCTACGATAAGATCGATTAAATCAATAAAAGAAGAAGAAGAAGAAAAAATACTTGAAGAAAAATTTAAAGATACAAAGACGCCATTTTCAAGGTTATTTAACTTAAACAAACCAGAATGGGTATTAATAACGATCGGGGTAATCTCATCAGCAATCGATGGTACCATTTTCCCAATATTCGCCACAATATTTTCATCATTATTGGATTCATTAGCCAAAGTAGACCGTCCTGATGAGCTAAAGCGTGATGCAAACTTTTTCTCTGGAATATTTTTAATTATTGCATCAATCACCTTTTTAGCAGTACTTGCCAAAACTACTTCGTTTAAGTTAAGTTCAGAAAGATTAACTAAACGTATTAGATTAATGACGTTTGATCAATTAATGAAACAAGAAGTGTCATTTTATGATGATGAAAAGAATAGTGCTGGTATTTTAACTGCTAGATTGGCTGTTGATGCTACAAAGATTGAGGGACTTACAGGTTCGCTTATGGGTAATATTATACAAACTACAGTCACCATTTGTGTTGGTCTGGGGCTCGCGTTTTCTTATGGTTGGAAATTAACCTTGGTTGTAATATCTGCGGCTCCTCTAATTGGAATTGCACAATACGCTAAATTAAAATCTATGGCCGGCTACGGTTCTAAGGTAATTAATTACTCGAACTTTCCTTTTTTTTTAATAATGCTCATTAATATTCTTCACTAACGAACAACAGACTCTCAAAGCATACGAAGGGACAGGACACATAGTTCATCAAAGTGTCTCTAATATTCGGACGATCGCATCTCTCTCATTGGAAGATACATTCTACAAGTTATATCATAAATCAATTTCAGAACCTCATAAAATTGCTGTAAAAGGAACTATGATTGCAGCATTAGGGTTTGGACTCTCACAAGGAATGATATATTTCTTTTACTGCCTTACTTTCTGGTACGGATCCGAATTAATTAAAAGTCAAGAATATACAATAAAGAGAATGTTCAGCGTATTCTTTGTAATAACTTTTACCTCAACCGCCGTTGGTCAAATAAGGTGTCAATAATATTCTTTCACATTCTGTTTTTCTTTTTTTAAAAAAAATAAATAAATATTAAAAAAAAAAATTTATTTTTATCAGTACTTTCGTACCAGAAATATCAAAAGCGAGGGTAGCAGCACTTTCGATATTTGAATTACTTGATAAAAAACCGAACACCTCTCCACCGGATAGTATAAATGATCGACCAACCCCAGTGACAGGATCATCTAAATTCGAAGATGTACATTTCTCATATCCTGCACGCCCCACTTCAAAAATTCTAAGAGGTCTTTCAATGTCAATACCTTCTAATAAAACTATAGCATTAGTTGGTTCGAGTGGTAGTGGGAAATCTACGGTAATTTCACTACTTTTACGTTACTATAATGCCAATTCTGGGGTCATCCATATGGAAGATGTTGATATCTTACAATGGGATTTGGAATATTTAAGAGATAATCTTTCTTTGGTTGGACAAGAACCTATTTTATTTGATTTAACTATCGGAGAAAATATAGCTTATGGGAAAGATGGAGCCACTCAGGATGAAATTGAAGCGTCTGCCAAACAGGCTAATATACACGATTTTATTGAATCGCTGCCGGAAAGTTATAATACCAGAGTTGGTGAAAAAGGAGCACAATTAAGTGGTGGACAAAAACAACGAATTGCCATTGCGAGAGCTTTAATCAGGCGTCCTAAACTGTTATTATTGGATGAGGCTACTTCTGCATTAGATTCCGAATCCGAAAAGGTTGTGCAAGATGCTCTTGATAATGCCGCTAAGGATCGAACCACTTTAACGATTGCCCATCGATTATCCACTATCCAAGATTCTGATTTAATTTTGGTTTGTAAAAAAGGCAAAGTTGTTGAATCTGGTAAACATTTTGATCTAGTTGCTAAAAAGGGGATATATTTTGATCTAGTTAACAAGCAATCCCTTACAAAAATTCACAAGTGAATTATATAACAATATAAGATTAATTAACATATTTAACGTATTATGTGTATTTAATTTGTCATAAAATATATTTTATTTAATAAATAACTTTTTAATAATGTTAACGTTTTTGAATTATTCTCCTGATAAGTTTAAGTAAAAATCACGTGAAATAGATTTTTCCATTCAAAATTTATGTAAGTATAATAATAAGGTTTTATTACATAAAAGAAAATGAGTTCAATTCCGCTAAATCTAATAAAATTCATAATACTTGATAAGTACCGTAATGCACTGTTGCTTTATAAGGCTTATAGAAAGACATTTTTAAGGTATCAGAGAATTAACAGGTAGAGTGGCACACTAAATCGGGTAAAATTAAACTTCAAAATCATTTCAATGGAATCCCAAAGTTTCAATTTACTTTCTTCGGATTTTACATGGGTAAATTTTCTCATTAATTTAATACTTATGCAATTCTTCCTTACTATGTCGGATGGTAAACAGAGAATTTGATAAGTTTAAAGAAAATAATGGAGATATGAAGAATTACTAGCACATATTTACTTGACCTGATAATGTATGAAACGAGCCCTTAATGTTCTGGATATGATTTATAATGTAATTTTCCTTCCAGGTAAAATATCACGCGATCTTTCGTTTTTTTTTACTATTATTTATAAGACATATTTTTCAGAAATTAGTGCTTTATTTAAGCATTATCTGTTCTATTAAATACAGTATAAGCATAAATATAGTAATAATAATAATAACTATTTTATACTTCTAGTGATCATGATTTACAATGTCTCGTGACTTTAATAGCAAATGACCCCGTGATTCTGTAAAGGATTTTTCAAGAAAGTATTGTAATCTCAGAGAAAGTTATTTCCAGCAGATTTCATTGAAAAATGTTGTTTAAATTCACGTTTTAAGAACTTCATTGAATTTTTGATCGTATAGGGATTAGAGGTTGGACCTTCGGATTTATATATCAATTCGAAAATATAATTCATACTAGCAAATGGCAAAAATTAAATTTGATAAATTCACAACTTAATATTATAATAATTGATTGTATTTTCTTTTAAGCCTGCATAAATAATTATCTTAGAATTCATCAATATATAAATTTAAAAAATCTGGATTTCATTTACTGTCGGAATTCTTATTTACATTTTTCTAACTAAATTCATCTTTAGATTGGATTTCTTCCAAGCTGAGTTTACCATCCACGACTGCCTTGTTAACGAATATTTTTTTAGTCATAAGTTTCTTGTTGATAAGATATATGTTTTTATTTAAAAAAAAATTGTTTACAGAATATTTTTTAGCCTATATTCTTTCAAAGATTAATTTTTTATCACTTTCGATATTATTTTATCCTTTTCCTTAAATCATCTCAAATGACATCAAAATATATTAACATGATGGATTCATTCATTTTGATATCAAACTGATTGAATTTAAGGCAATTATCAAAGACAGTTTCTTCCAGTTTGAGGCAAATAATATCTTTCCAAATTGAGGAAAGTGTTAATGGAAATTTTTGGACACAAACGAGGCGAGGTTTAATCTCCGTGCTAGAGTAATTAATTGGACCAGAGATTGATGTTCTTCCGCATAAAAAGGACCCATACGAAATACCAAAAATCAAAATCTCGAAAATTAATTGTCCTCTAGTTATGAAAGATTTGTGATAAATATGTTTCGGGAATTTTGATTCGTACCAGATCCGCATTAAACTCGATAATAGAAGCTTCTGAAGTTTAACTTTAAAATGATTTTCGGCTTGAAAGAAATTCTCTTATAACTAAATTAAGAACTTTATTTATCATCAATAAGTAAATCGTTATATATAAACAAATTTTGCTTTGAATTAGATCACTACTTACTGCTGAACAAATATAAACATTCGCATTATATTTATAATTATAATTATCGGACTACTCCAATAAAATCATAATGAAATATAAATTTAACAATATAACAATAAGTATCGAATGATATATTGATTTGTATATTTAATATTCGTTTTGTATAAAAGACAATAAAACTTTGATATCATTAACATATTATAAATCATTTGATGGACCTTATTAAAATAGGTTGAAAAAAATTAAATAATTGATTTAATTAATAAAAATAATGTTTATTTATGTATGCTATTTGCATCATTTTACAAATTCATTAAAAAGATAAGCTATTAAAGTTAATCATAAAAATTCCATTCGATTTATAGCAATCTTTGAAAAAAAAAAAATAGTTATATGAATAAAAAAAATTTTATAGGATTATATAACTGATATACATTAATATAATAAAACTTTATAAGGTTTTTTTAATAATTTTATTCGTTCAAATGAATTATTTAAATTACAAACTAAGAAATTTGTTACTCTAACAATTAGTGTTTAAATAATTCCAATCAAATATAATATGTAAATTAATTTGATATTTAAATTTACTTATATTAATCCTTTCATTATATAAAAATAATTGCTCTTAATTTCTTTCTATATAAAGGTTTATTTCTTTTTAAGTTTTAAAAAATAAATTTTGTGATAAATATTATATAAATTAGAACATCAATATTTAATAAATGATTTTTGTACAGTTTATTAAGATATAAAATAGACCTAGTATACCTTTGCTTTTTATAATTTTTTTTATAATAATCTATTTTAAAAAATTATCATAACTTTTCAAGGCTAAAATTTAATAAATTAATTGTAAATAATAGTAATAATAATTTAATAATCAGAAATCCTTAAAACAGTTTTGTAAATATTCCATTAAATAACTTTACTTTTATAATCATAAATTGATTATTTTATGTTAAATTATTTTGACTTACTGTTTTCGGACTGTAATCGAGCTTTTACATATTATAAATTGATTCAACTTTCACTCATTCCTGATTTAAATAATTATTTGTAAAAAGAAAAAAAATAAATAAATATACTGTATGTAAAAAAAACTTTTCTTTTACCTTTGTTATATAATTCATTAATATCATCAACTAAAAATTAAAAGAATTAATATAAATATTAAATTTACAAAGAAAAAAATTCAACTACACATTTTATTATGAACTTTACATTCAGGAATTTCCAATTTATCCTGATCTTCGGAATGAAGATTGGGATTATTGTATATGTTATCTCCATTATCTTACAAAGCAAAGCAAAAAATAAATATTTACGATTTTAGAATGATTCTGAAAATAAAACTACAATCGTTTACTTAAATACCTTCATGTTCTACTGCATTATTTTTCATAAAAAAAAATATGAATGATTTTTATAAATAACCTAACTTTAAAAAAAACTGCAATAAAATGAAATTTTCTTACTGTCAAATGCATTCTTTGGTTTAGGCACATCTTTAAAAATGTAGACTTTGCTGGTAGTATTTTTAAAATGATCGGTATTAACATCAATAAAAATGTCAGTCTGCACTTTTATATTGTCCTCATTTTGATAAAATAATAATGATCTTAATTCTTCTATAAGAGTATTTCCATCGGGTCTATTTAATGGATCAGCATTCCAACATTGTTCCATCAATTGTTGATATTTTAAAGGGGTTCCTGGTACGATTTCCGGTCTTATTCCATCAATTATCTTCATAGAAACATCAAAATCATGCTCATAATTATTATAAGGTGGTTGTCCAGATGAAATTTCCCACATAATCATGGCAATACTATAAATATCAGAAGCTTTAGTATATTCCTTTTTAGCAATAACTTCAGGAGCTATATAAGGAAGGTTTCCGTATATACTTTCGGATGGTTTGTTTGCAGGACCGCAAAATGCGAGATCACTAATGTACCAATAATCATAATGTTGTCTGTATAAAATATTTCTGGAATGTAAATCTCGATGAATCGTATTATCTTTATGAATTTTATAAAGAACATCGATTATATCAAAAGTTATTTTAATCCGATTCTTCCAAGTAAGTTTGCTGTAATTTTGTTGTAAATATTTTCTTAAATCTACATCCATTTGTTTCATTACAAGCATATAATTTCTGGTTGATGGATCTCGGGTTAATCCATAACATTTAACGATTCTCGTCCATTTGTTGCTTATAGATAATTGGGATTTGGCCTAAAAAAAAAAAGACTTTTAAAAGGTTTCCAATAAAAATAAATCATTCCATGAAAAATTATTAAGCGCAAACCTCTTCAATCCATCTTCGATTTATACTCTTGAAACTTTTAAGTATTATCTCATTAGTTCCAAGCCTTTTTAATTCTCGTTTCTCAGGATCCCATTTATCATAACTACCTCCAATCCAATATGCTTTATAAATTTCAGAGAAACCACCTTTAGTTATGTATTTTATATTTCGCAATTGACTGTATGGAATCCATTCGATTATTCTATCTGGTGCGACGGATTTCATTTGACATTTTCGTATCAAATCATTAATTTCTTCATTTCCTGATGACCAATTTGTAAAACTTTTCTTTAAATAATTTTGAACACAAATCTCACAATATGATGTAGCTAAACATTCTTCATCACAATTTTTGCAGACCCTCTTTGTTCCTTCATTATAACTAACTTTATCATAATCATAGAAAATATTTATTAACTCAATTGCCTTCTCTGTTTCTTCGCTTGTAAGAGTCTCATCTTTAAGAATTATTTGCTTGCAAAGTTCATAATACTTTTCTAAGTCAACATCCCGATTTAATGATGCAGTCGTTCTTTGTATAGCAGCGTTAATTACTTCTGGACGAATTACAGTGGCACTCATCTTAATATGCTTTTATTAAAAATCCTTTCTTTTTCATTTATATATGAGTTCAAAAGGACAGTAGACTCCGGAAAGTTTGTGTAACAAATAATTGAACAATAAATAATTGAACAGATCATCATATTAACACAGTCATCGTCCGCTGATCAAATTACGGCGGAAATTTTTTTCCGTTATCTCAGTAGGAAAAGGCTTTCCAAAGAAATAAAAAAAAATAATAATAAAGATTTATAATCAAAAAGCTATTTATCGAACCTAAATTTCTTCGAATTTTGAGCCTTTCAAAACATCCATCTACGCAAATGAGGTCTTCAAAAACCAACTATAATTATAATGCCTAATATATCTATGTGCATATCTCGAGAGCTAAATAATCAAGAAATTTTTATTCTGAATTTTCAAGCACAAATTTTATTTATTGCCTAGAAATAATTTAATAAATATGGAGTCAGAGCCGACGATTGAATCGATTGTTAAAATTATTTTTTTTCATTAAAACATAATTTTCTGAAATCAGATAATGCAAATATTAATAATAACACTCAATTTGATCACGATTTATCTGAGCTATTATTTATCCTTCAAAATGACCAAAAAGAAAGTTAGAAGTGATATTTAAATTCATGAAAAATAAAACTAAATTCTTGTTACGATTATTAGTTAATAAAAATAAATGCCAAAATTTTTATTCAAATCATCTACTCATTATTAAATTGAATCCAAAGCGTCAAAGCCAGTTATTCAAATCGTGAAAACTACAGAATTACCAAATTTAGTTGTTTCTACAGGAATAGTATAATTAATTCAATTAATTCAAATTATTTGAAATAATATAAAACACAAAATGTCAAGTTTGAGGTATTTTTTCAGTAAATGATTATAAAATTCTTAAAATAATGAAATTCAATTTTAAGTAATAACTAGGGATGTTAAATTGCTTCAATAAAATATGCTTAACCGAGTTTGAGCACAAACTTTCATAAACAAGTTTAATATGTGTTCTAAACAAGCTTCAAGCATCTTGTTAATTTGAGCTTCAATTATGCTTCAAAGATTATATATCAATCGCAGTGCATTTTCTCCAATTTTGAGTAGCAAATAATGTTACATATAATTCTAGGAGTGTTCTAGGAGCTGGCGAGTTTCTATAAATCACGAGATGAGTTACAATTCTGTTTGTGGTAGAGTCTGGATACGCAGACCGGACCCGATCGATCAAGAAAACTACGGTTAATTTTTGGCAGTTTTAAAAAAAATCGGTTAAATTTATCTTCCGAAAACATGATGGACTTGCTTTTCCAGGGATGACAAATTGCGCAGAAGAATGAATGAATCATGAGGCGTAGTACAGTATGGTAAATGTTAATTTATGGCCCAGTACCCCTTTTTCTCATAAATTCGAAAAAATAAACAAATGTTGTTAGCCGGATGGCTGGAAATAAAACTTAGACGATATAATTCAGTCCTTCGAATTAATCACAATAACTTTATCACAATCACGCCTGTATGAAGACACGGCAAAAGGTAATAGTAAATGAATAACAAATATCTTTATTGAACTCTTGGTTTATTCACAAAACCCTATCTCGAGTTATCTTTCAACTCAAGGGAAAATACATGCTATTTATATAAAATAAACTAATAGTAATATAATATGATAAATATATCTAATATAATAAATATAACTAATATGATAAATATAATAAATAAAATAAATCTATCAAATATAACAAATTTAATAAATATGTTAAATATGAATCATCGGTCAAATATGACCAATCTGTCATATTTGTCAAATAAGTCGACTATAAATTTGAAGATCAATGTTAAGCTTGCAGCTAACAACGTGACCTCCGAAACAAAGAGCCAACAGGCATTCGGTATCAACTCACATTTTTTTTATATACTAACACTAAGAAATATCTCATGTCGTATTATGTAATATTTTATATTGCCTAAAGTTTCAATGCCTAAGTATATTTACCCAGAATTTAATTTGAGGTATAAAATAATCTTTTTTGACCTTTGCAAAAAAAATTTTTTTATATTTTTGAGCCCGTGCATTAATATATCTATACCTGTTTTTCAATCAATTATTACTACAGATCCCGATGCAAGCATTTATCTTTCGTTTACTTCAGGAAAAAGTATTACATTTTTTTAAAAAAAATTATCTTTAGTTTTTGATGAGTATATTATCATTATATACTATTCATTTGTTCCTTCACGTGGCTTGGCTCCCTTAGGGTTAATGACGTTTTGGAAATGTCCTTTTCTGGTATTCATCATTAGGTAACGTTAAAAATATACAAAAATAAATCATACATTTTGTAATTTTTGATTTTTATGTAAAAAATATTAGAAAGAAATCTTATCATATCGATATCTGCATTGCTTGCGAGAACTCGTCAATGTGAAATTTTTGTGATGGCAATTTTCAATTAAGAAATGAAAGTTTTTTTATCTATAGAGACACTTATCCAAAGACCGGTTCTTCAAATTTCCATACACCCAGCACAAGAATTTGTAGACATCATCATTAAAGAATTAAAGCAAGTACACTAATTGATTCTTGTTATCCCACCTTTACATCATCCTGAATACACGTTGAATAACTTGTTTTGATAGAACTTCATAAGGTTAATTAAGGTACAATTATTATGTTTAGTATTCTGGTATTCTACACCACATATTGTCTGTTGCAGAAGGGGTAAGTCTATATTTGTTTTCAGTGGTATGCGTATATTATTTTTTTAAGAAGACCGCGATGGAAATTTGGTAGAAATTTTCCAGAGCTTGATAAGAAATTCCTTAACTTGATATAATTGTATCTATATCTCCAATATTAATGATATGTTATAGCGACTAGTGCGCCAAAACTTAATGTCAAATCTAAGCAATATTAGTTTTGACTTTCAACAAAGGCTCGTCGGTGAAATTGTATCAATAGATACAGAGCAAGAACCTCGTTTAGAAAATTATGAAGAAATTATACAAGATAAAATTATCGAAGTCAATATTGTTGCAGTAAAATTGATGTCTGATTAATCGTTGATTCAGAATAAATAATCTTTCTTTCGAGTACGATTAATCGTATATATTATATCTTTTCCTTATTCTACACACCAAACCCGCATTTAATTATATGCAATATTTAAAAAATCGAAAAAATGTAATTTCTCATACAATAAAGCTATATTAATATTAGCAAATATTCTATACTCTTTTTTATCAACCTCCTCAGCTCAAAAAATAATACTAATTAACAAACTATTTTTTTCATGTTTGTTGTTAATCACAGAAGTTAAAGTCTTCATTTTTATTTTAACGCACATTGTTCTACATTATTGAGAATGGGAATTTACGTCTAATTTCTTGAAAAGTATCCCAATCATTTCCAATATTTTTCTTAGGTGTTATATATCTTTGATATCTAAAAGTATCATAAATGTCGTCTGGTACAATGAAAAATAAATAAATTCTTGCATTATGATTCTTTTTGTACGCTGGCAAGTTTTGAATTATTTTGACCAATTCACTATGTTTAATAGGATGGTTTTGATAAAGTAATTTGAAAGATCTTGTCTGGTGTAATAATTAGATCATCCCAACAATAAATAATTATAGTTAATTTATTTTTTAAATTACCGTATTAGTTTATACAAAAATATACCGGATTTTCTTGCAAACTTTTTATTTCGAACTTTGTTACACCAACCTTGAATAGTTGAAGTACATGCGACTCGAACATACTGTATTATCAGAATAGATTGTTCCATCTATCATCTTTCTCAAGCTTTGTTTGAATTCTGTCAAAAATTCGATTAGAAGCCCATGAGAGACATTGTTATATATAGAAAGTGTCAGGCCAACGATGAATAAGGAAGCTGCCGAATTCAATATATAGGGCATTTATAGAAAAGCACCGTATAAGCCTACTAATAGCGCTGACTTTAAATTTCATGATATCATCTCGATTTTTGAGAGTCGCTTGATCCTCTAAATTCATATCTTGAATCATGATTGGTGGTAGTTGTATGTAGAACGTATCTTGGTATACGGTTATATCAAATCTTGTGGTACCATTAGGAAATCTCTCTTTGGAAAGGTTCCAACTTTTCTATTGACCATGGTGGCATACAACATATGTTGACAAGAACACTTTAAATTGGTTGCTTTGAATATTTTTTGGGATGCAGAAACCACTGTTCTTGCTTGAAATTCTTCATATTCTCTAACATAGAACTTTATACCCTCAAAACAGTATAACAGCTTTCCCGATTCATTTGGCTTAAAAATAAATGTGATATCGTGACAACCGAATTAATAAATAAATCAGAAAGCTCGATTTACTGACACCTGATATGAGAAATCTAGGATCAGAAATTCTTGTGGGTAACAATGTGATAAAGGTCATTTTAAACTTTTCTTGCATAGAGTTTATGTTCATAAATCACAGCAAGCGGTTTTTTTTTCAGGATGCGAGATAAAATTAAAGGCTCTTCTTCTGGCTCTTCTTCTAGCTCTTCAAATCTTTTTTTTTCTTTCTTCACGTTCTTCTAATTCTGTTCCTTGATCCTTGATATTATCTTGTAAAACTTCAGGAAGTCTTTTACGATCCCAGAATTTGATGATAAGATCTAATGTATTTTTAAATCTAAATTTAAGTAAATTAAAAATCGTAAGCTCACAGATTCAAGTAAATAAATATTTTCTTTGTTGAAAATACAGATAAATCTAATTACAAACTTATAGTACTTCCTAATCTTGGTTTTCTACAGATCGACCTAAATCAATGGAACAGAAGAGCGATAGTAAGAAGCAAGAGGTTATTAAAAAAGTAAATCCATATGTACGATCACTTGGGTTGATTAAATTCATTATGGTTTGCTCACCGGTATTGACAAGTATTTCTACAATAACATGAATTGCTTCTTCTGGAGGTGTGATATTTTCAGCCCAGTAGTATGCAATCTTTTTTGTTGTAAGCATTAAAGTTATATTGTCGTTATCTTTTAACTTAATTTTTGAAGCTCCTCAATATTTTCGTCAGGAACAGGGAGAAGTATTAAGTTTCCATATTACTATGTCATTACTATCGATTTTTGCAAAGTAATTTATCTTGAGCAAATGCTTTAAATCCATGTTGTATGATTTTATGGATTCGCTTTGTCTTGCAATTTTATTGTGACTAAAATTTTAGTTTATAAAAAATATTTATTTTTACGTTTTTATAGTCGGTCGGTATACTTATCATCCTTTGTAATCTTTGTAATGAAGAAAATATTACTTTATCTACATATACAAGAATTCCTGCTCACGTTTGTTATAGTTAGCTCAATTATACAATCTCATACATTTTATTTACCTCCGAAATTTTAATTATGGACATGTTTATAAAAAAAACAAGCCAACTTGATCTCCTTATTGCTGACAATTTATCTAATTTATAAAACTTTTTGGAATCGATGTTGCCCTAACTTAATTTAAAATTTCTTAATGCTAAATGTCAATAGTTAAAATCGTAATATTCTCACCTTCATCGTGGTTGAATCAAATATTACTATTATTGATACCACAAGCCAATGGAATATAAAGGGTCAGTATCTTGCACCAACACATCTTTGAAACGGTATAGAGCCTATACATCAAAAGTCGAAACCATGTAATACCAGCGCGGAAAATTTATTATTATATGAGAGCGTAAGCATATATTAAGATAGAATTGTATATTGGGAACTTTGAACCGCTAGAGTTATAAGGAATAAGTCTTGGGCAATATACTTATAAACTCTACAAATTAATAAAAATGTTATTTTAGGTTTTTTTTTGTAATAACTATTACACGAATGAATCGTAATAAATTGTATATTTGTCTTAGTATGACCTTTGATTTATTTGTTATTGCGCTTGGTTTTGGTAAAAAATTTCAGCTAAAGAGTTTTTTTTTGTCCGTTACCTGAAAGCGATCTAGCCGGTTGTTATTGATTATTTATTTTAAAAAAAGCGTCTGCATCCAACGACCGTAATTGCGTTGTAAATTAAATTATGGACTCATTTCATCAGTTTATTTTTATTTTTATTTAAGTTTGCGTGTAGCTTTAATTGTGTAATATTAGTAAAATAAGTTTTCTTGAAGCTCTGAAAGTCTTTCTTTTTTTTTAAGATAAAAATATGCTGTCGTTTTATCAAATTTAAATTAATGATAAAATTAAATGCAAATTTAAAGAATATATACTATACTGTATATGAAACATTGTACGAACGCAAATCAGAGACGCAGTAAAGAATCATTTGTCAATGGACTTTATTTATTTACTATACATAAAATTTTTTTCGTAATTATACACATATTCCAATAATAAATAAATAAATAATTATTCATTTCTAACATGTCTAACATTACTAACATAATTAATATCATGTAAAATTAGATTCGATCCGCATCACCCCCAAAACACACACACACTCTCTAGTTTCTTTCTATTAAGTCAACCAAAAGGATATCAACTCAAAAGGTTATCCCATCAAGAACGTTTATGTAGTTAAGGCTTCTTTTTAATTTGAAAAACTTCATATTCAGAACAAATGAATTTTTTAGGAATATTGACGTTTGGATAAGAAACAGGTTTAGATTTCCATTCGGCTTTACGTTTCATTGCAAGATCGTTACCGCCTTCAAAATTACCAAAGATGGGTCCCCAATCTTTATAACAATGTACGGAACATCCATGAGATTTTACACGTCCGATTATACCGGTTTTGGGATTATTATAATCCGAAAATGAAAATAAAAAACTCTCGGTAGAAGACTTTGTGCTTTCAGAAGAATCCCATTCAAAAGGATTGTACCCACCGACAATTTGTCGAGAATTTTTTACTCTAATCACCACGATAGTTGGACCTTTTTTATCGCATAATTTATGAAACTTTTGTGAATCCATACCATCTCGACTACCACGCAATAATAGATTAAATTCGTAAGGAGCCATTTTTAAACCCTTATATCCATCAAACTTCCTATCTATCCAATTTGAAAATATTAACGCATGTTGAGCGGTTATTAACGTCGAATCTATTTTTACCAAACTTGTACGAAGAATTGATTCCGTCTTAAATGCTTTAGTGGAACTATCATCCGGTGTTTTCGAAATTCTAGATGATTTCGGTGGTGCTGAGGCTAACTTGGGTAACATGTGAGCTCTGAGAACCTTTTGTTTAAGTTCTCTTGGTATTAATTCCTCATAAGGCAAGACCCTGTTAAAAAAATCTTCGGCAGATATATCATGAAATTGAATCAAAGGTATGAATTTTCCTATGGTACGATTCATCAAAGTCGTATCATCTTTTGTCCATTTGTTAACATCAAAATCTACGTTAGGATTCCTTGCCAATCCCCAATCGATTAAATTTTCCCATATAGTGATCTCTTTAATGGAAGATATATCTTCTCTTTTCAATAATTGTGTCACTATTTCTTCGGACAAATGACTGAACTTATCCGTGGCCAACAATATTTCTGGATCGGAACATATCACATCTAAACAAACTTCTCGAAGGTTGATGAATAAATCGTGTGAATACACAATATCTATAATGTGTATCGGATCTTTTCGGATAAAATTTCTTTGATGTTGAATCAAAAAATCCGTTACGTATTGCGATAATTTATGTAAGCCGAATTCATTCGACGCTATCAATAAACTAAGAGTTTCAACCCCATTCTCCGGATCTAGATCTACCTTTCCTATATAAATGAAACTAAATTTACCGAACACGGGTGGATGAGTCTAAGTGAAAAATTTCTTAAATCAAAAAAGACAAAATGAGCAACATAAACGCTCCTCACCCACCTTAAGATATTTCTACAAGAAATTGACGTAATGCTTGGCTTTTTCATAATGTACATTCCATCTTTTCTTTCAATCGAATTGGTTGAAAATATATTATGAAAGTATTGAGATCGACAACTGAGTATAAGTGAATGGGCATAGAATTCTGTATAATCTGATTCTTTTCCTACTTGTATACATACATCTTGATTACTCTTTGTCTCGAGTAATAATTTCAAGTCGCAGATGATTTCTGACCAAAATTTATCCCCCATATTAATGATGAAAAATTAAAAGATGAAATGAAGGATTGTGAATAAATATTCAACAAAAAAAAGATTAAAAGTAAAATGAAAAAAAAGGGAGGAAATTGACTTCCATAAGAAGAAAAAAGTTTTCTTTGGTATTTATTTTATTACCTTATTTATATGATAACCTTTTAATTTGGTAATGATGCGACAGAAAATTGTAACCACCAATTAATTATGCATAATGTCTATTAATAAATAATCATCGCAGCTTTGTTTTGCTTATCATAAACAAGTTAGTAAACTAGATAGTCCCATTTATATTAACATAATGAATTAAACCCGTCGGCATCTTTTCCATTCTAGAGCTGTATTTTTTTTTTTTTTAAAAGAAAGCTTTATATTTTGGAGAAATTGAATTGGATGTAAACGAATAAAAAAAATATATTATTTTTCAAATGAATTTCAAAAATTATTTTGATAGTGTGATGTGATACATCAAATTTTCGATAATTGATTTAAATAATTTCAAAGAATTAAATTAGACAAGATAGACAAAGAAATTAAAAATTATTTAGTTTATATGAACCAGTTATCACAGTTTAATTAATTTAAAAAAGCTTATACGTCTTAACATAGTGAGCAGCGAAAACATTATTTTATGAATAGCTTCGTTTAATTACCTCGTTTTAAAATATCCAAAAAAAAAAAGATCTCATAATATAAAATAAAATAAAATAAAACGTACATGGTATGGTTAATAATTCCCCCACCCCATTACGACCTCCGCCAAATATAAAGTTAAAATAATATTAATTTTCATGAATTCTTTTTTTTTCAATTTGAATAGTGAATCAAATACCAAATATTTCAACCATCATCTAATCGAAGAGATAAGGTTTTTTTCCAATGCAATAACTTTTGCATATGTTACACCAGAAAAGTGACAGCCTCATATATTTATAGTATAATTATCTGACAAAATGTATTTACTTTTTGGTAAACCGAATATGAGAAAAAATATTATGATACGCACTAACTCTTTTTTGCGTTTTCCGCTAATTTTGTTTTTTTTTGTATGTGGATTTATAAATATTTACTTCACGGATTAATATATTAGGCAAAATATTTATTATAAAGAAAAACAATTCAAACTGTCAAAAAACACTTAAATGAAAGAAACGGCCACGTGAAAGTGAAAATTACAATTGATGAACATTTGAAGCCCAAATCGAAAAGCATATTAAGTTGAATTTTTTTTTTTAAAAAAAAATGAATATACAAGCAATGTTTAGTCTGGTTGATTTAAGGCATACGTCTTCATTTCATAATTGAATAATCCTTACGAGATTTAGATATGAAAATAATTGAAATGTTTAACAAATTCCGAGATGAGGAGGTGTTTATAATTTTTAGGATTTATTTCCTCGAAAATGAACATGAAGAATTTATTTCTCCGGATTTATGCAATTATGTGGATGTTTTGAAAATATTTCAGGAAAATCCTATTCATGTTAGACATTGTATATTTCCTTCAATATTATATAATAATAAAAAAGTTGAGTTGAAATTTATTTAGAATAATTTGTATAGTGACAGAACCAAACTAATAGCTTTAAAGGTTGGAACCTCCTTAACCGGTTATTAACCGGTTAAATTTAACTCAGGCCGGCATAGAGATTGGAACCGTATCCTAATTCATCACCCGGGTATCCACATCATTTTATAAATCGGGTATCCCGTTATTTCGGGTCATAAGTTTATTTAACTTAATCTTCATTGTGACATGTTATTGTTTTCATCAAAAAAAAAAATTGGTGGTGAGCTTTATTACTAGAGTAACAATTATATTATCATTGTCTGAAAGGGAAGGCCTATCATTCATATTTAGTTGAAAGCTAATATTTAGAGTGAATTTGGTAACGAATTGAAAATTAAATAAAGAAATTCTGCTGGAATGTCTGTAGAATATTTACCCATGAATGTCTTCCATAATTTAAACTTTAACTTATTCAATATTTATATAAACAATTAAATTGATTTGAATTTCTTAAAATCATCGAGCATAAGAAATCTGCTATTTTTTTATTAAGGCAATCGTGTATCCGGTTCCAATCTCTAGGCTGGCACTATAAATTTAGGCTAAACTAGCGAAATTTTGTAATCACAAAAAAATTTAATTCTGCCCGAAAATTAAATTTCGGCCAGAGTTAAAATTAAATATTTTAACAAAAAAGATTAATCGGTTTCAACCTCTACTTTATATTATTTCGTTACAAAATCACTAATATAATTATTGTTATTATATTACGATTTCAGCTGCACAAAATTGTGTAATTATCGAAAAAACATTTCTCTTAATTTTGAAGATGATGGGCAAAAATTTAGAGCCAATATTTGAAACGAAAAGCTTTATACCAATTTAGAAACTAATATCCGATCATTCATTGCAATTTATCAATTTATTAAATTTGCATGAATTTCATTTTTAACCAATCAAAAAATTGAGCAGCAAAGAAATCTTTGTTGGGTGAAATTTGTTCATTTTGGCATTAAAAACGTATATTCATGAAAACCAAGAATACAAAAAAAAAAAAAGAGCTAGACTTTAGATATTCGGAATTAGTTTACCAAATTAAAGTGTGTTTTTTTTGGACCGGTAAACATGGGGCCCCAGTAATGAACTTTAAAAGATTTAATGCAGAAATTCGGGTGTCCCTAACTAAAAAAATAACCTTCGTCATACCGTTAATTGGTCAATTGGTCTTTGACGGAACGTTTTTTCTCTATAAATACGCGATAAAATTTTGTACTTTCTTTTTTTTAAAAAAAAAAGAAAAAGGAAAAGTTATTCTCGTCATGCCCTTTTTCTTAAAATCAAAGGTTTTTTATTTCAGTTTATTTATATTATTAAGCTCGGTCCTTGTGAATTATTATTCGTCAAATGTTGATTATGATGT